CTCATATACAGAACTATGATTGCACCAATGGGGCCAAAAAAGGTCAAGAGGACATCAACAGCTCCTGTTATAAAGTTAATTACAACTACACACTCTCCATAGCAGGAACTAAATCTATTTGGATGTTTCAGAAAGTCAATCAGTATCACACCATTATAAAACACAGAACAGGCCCAACACAGACAAATACAGATTTTAACTCTTTTCTGAGTGACTTTGGTTGGGTAACACAAAGGGTCACAAATGGCCACATATCGGTCAACTGATATGAGCACCATGTTTCCTACTGAGGCAGATGTAAGAATAAAAGAGGCATAGTAAAATAGTCCACACATTAAGCTCTCCAAAAACCAACAGCCCCCTATAAGGAGGATTTTAACAGGCATCAGCAGGAGGCCAACGAGGAAATCTGAGACAGCCAGCGAGAGGATGAGAAGGTTGGTGGGGGTGTGAAGCTGCCTGGAGAAAGAGAATATCATCACTAAATATATTATGTGTCGCAGTTAGGGAAGTTGAAAGTATTTAATCTATAATAGTATGAACAGTCAAATAAACTAATTATATCCACATAATACAGTATAGCACATTTCTAAAAAGATAGGACATGCATCAAAAATCCTGGAGAGGACAAAGGATGCAGTACAAGTACCAGTTTTGTACTGTAGTAGAGGAGAAAGTATACAGTCAGCTTGGATTCTAACATACATATCATCAATACTTTCATTGATGGCTGCAAAGTCATTAGTAGTTGTATTGTAGTAGTAATAGTGTGTAAGTAAAAATACATGTAAACTGTTAAAAACTCAAATTGGTATATTTTCATGCCTTAATGTTACTTAATGTTGTCCCAAATTCCTCTAAAATTAAGTGCTTCATAGTATTTTAGGTTATGATTAAAAATGTATCTTCATGCCTGAAGTGGGAGATAGAGATGATGACCAGCAGGTTCAGAGCCACAGTGAGCAAGGAAATGCAAGACAGCAGGATGTACAGGAATATGCTGTCCAGACGATGCTGCATTGGCTTCCTGCAGGAGGTGTTGAGTAGTTGTGGAAAGCAGAGTTCAGCTTCTTCCAGGGTCTCCATAATCAGAGAGAGAAGAGGAGACAAGACGCTGCTGAGCTCTGGCAGCTTTCTGACTAAAGTTCTGCATCAAAAAGCTAACTTATCTTGCTCCTCCCCCCTTTCCCATAACCAAAAAAAATATTTGACGTTGTGATATTATTATCAGATACATTTGCCTTGCCTACCAATTGCGGAATTCTTCCGATTTCGTGGACGCCTGAGCAAATTACAAGCCCTGGTTCTGTGAGTTGTGAGTTGTACCTGGATATTCTATCTGGACAAGGACAAATGACTGTTAAAACAATATGTAAATTAATGCAGAAGATATTGCAATTAGAATGGTATGGAATCAGCCACAACACATCTGGAGACACAATCTGGCACACATTGTGGTCAGATCTTAACCAAGAGTTAATGCAATATGTGCAGTTTGTACCCATTCTTTATATAGAAAATCTTCTCAGTCTTCATTTAAACTTCCTGCTTTCTCAACCAAACCTTGCAAAAAACTACAGATGACAGTTGTTATAAATTGGGTTTTAAAGACAAAAACAATCTTGGTTGAGATGAGCATTTTAGCACTGTTTCAGAAATAATCTGTGTCCATGCTGGCACGCCAGAGGATGTATATCACAAGACCATTTCTGAAAATGGACTTTACTTATATAGCAGCTTTCTATTTTCCAACCACTAAAAGCTGCACACTACATGCCACACAGTGATGACGAAAGCCATCATAAACAGAAAGTTTCACACAGTGATGCACAGCATTGAGAGCAATTTGGGGATCAGTATCTTGCTCAAGACACACACTGATGCACAGCATAGAGAGCAATTTGGGGTTCGCTATCTTACTCAAGACCACTTCAACATGCAGAAGGAAGAGCCAGGGATTGAACCACCAACCTTCTGATTAATGAATGACATGCTCTACCTCCTGAGCCACTGCCATTTAGGTTCACTGCTCATACGTGTGATGGTGTTAACAGGAACAAGGACAAAAACAGTTGAGAATCGGTCCTAATTGTGCATTCAATTTGAATCATATGCCTCCTAGCTTATTATTTATTTGTATCTATGCCAGTTTTTCTGATAGCACTGGAAAACAATGATGTCAAACTCATGTGTCCACGTTGGTGGAAACATGAGACAAGAAGGAGTCATGGCAGAGAGAAAGTCATGGAGCTTTTGTCTTTGTTGTGACCTTTTTTGGCCCCACTGTTGTCATCATAGTTCTGTATACGAGAGTATTTGTGGTGGCTGTGTCTAGGGCTTGTGCCATGTGCCCCCACACTCCAGCAGAGTGACAATAACTAACTAAAAAATAAATTGAATTGAAAGTTTGAGAGTTGAGAAATCGTTGTAGTTGTGTTTGTTCTGTGCTCATGTCCATATTACTGTTGAACTGTTGGCCTTTGTATTTAAACTCCTTTCTAAACCCTCTGCCTTTTTGTACCCCTGGTTCAAAAGATTTATTTAGACACATTGTTACACTTCAAACACTGGAGCCTGGCTCATATGATGCCAACATACTATAGAGAAAGACTGTGATGGCTAAAACCATTGTTTCTCTGCGAAGGGGAAATCATTTTTAATGCTGATTGATCGGATTGACTTCAACTTTGGACAGTACACAAAGTCACAATGAAAAGTTAAAATTTTGAGTTTTTCGTCCGAGGTCGTGTCCATGATTTGGTGCCAAATTTTTTGCCAAGAAGCAGTAAGTTCTTGTGTACTGTACTTCTATATACTTCATCCAATCTGCACCATGTTTTATAATCCTGCCCTGATTACATCTACATACATCATCTCATTTGTTTGTTTTTGATTACATGTCACTGGACAAAAATTACCTGTATCCAAAAGATCTAATGGTATCTAATTTTATGGAAATGTATCCAGATCTGCATATCATATCATATTTAATATCATATCAAAATAAAATCTGTTAAAGATCCAGTCTGTAAGATCATTTTGTATACGGACATATATTTTTGTGCATTTATTCATTTATTATGGTTATTATCTGCTTCAGTTATCCCATTTGAATGACTGAAACCAGAAAATTCTTTAAGACCACCAAAACTTGGTTCCGATTGGGGACCTGGTTTCAAGATACAGTAAGGAAGTTTATTGTGTTTCAAGGGCTACAAGCAAAAGCCCTGCAATATTTAAAGGCCAAAATCTGGGAACAGAGTGGCCACTCAGATCAACCAACAAGACGCAAAGCTGACCAGAGAGACAATAACGGGCGGAAAAGTCGTAACAACCCCAATGAGTCACACACTATTAAAATGTCACAGCCCGCACTTGCTTGGCTCCTACATTTAGATCATAGAAACTTGTAAACATAGACTGAGATGACCATGTGGCTGCTGCACATATGCCCACGAAGTAGCCACACCACGATTTGACTGTGTCCGACAGGCACACCTGAGAACACATATGACTGCTAAATTGTGACAACAACCCAGTGGGACAGCCTAGGCTATGCGTGCTGGATATACTCTGCCAAAGCCCAGATAGGGCACAGTACTGACTGGCAGTGTTCAATCTCCTGGTCTTCTCCAGAAGAAGAGAGTGGCCGCATCTCAACTCACATAGATAGGTGGAACTAAGACAGAATCTTAGGCAGGAAAGGGGCGGAGCAGCATACTCAACCCATCTGGCGAAAACCTACAGCAGTCACTGTGAATTGACAGTGCTTGGAGTTCATTCATCGTCCTGGCGTAAGTTATGGCTACCAGAAATGCAGTTTTAAGGGAAAGCCACATTAAACCAGCAACCCCAAGGGGCTCAAAGGGGGGTCCAAGTGCACCAAGGACAATATCCAAGTCCCATGACTAAAGGTCTAGTCCTGTGAACTGTAAACCTGTGTGCACCAGTAAAGAATTTGGGAATTAATGATCAGCCATCCCCATAAGAGTCAGATTATACCCTTTGATTGCAGCCACCCAGTAGGGTAACTGCAGACTTCCCTGCTTCCAGCTGGATGTAGGGAATTGCCTGGTGAGTCCCACACCAAGTGGTAAACACCCCCACAATGGTACGAGTAGGCCGCCCTAGTTGATGGCACTCAGGCCATATATCTGAGCACTGAGGGATGGAACAGGATCCCGATCGCAACAGCAGGTCTCTTTGCCGCAGTAGCTCCCTTAAGAAACCATAGCATGTGGGGCTAATGAGAAGCCACCAAAATCAGCCTCACCCCTTCCATGTGAATGTTTCAGCTGGAAAGGAGGGAAGGCATACAGCAGACTCTGGGTCCATTGGTGCACCAGAGCATCGCACCCCAGAGGAGGATTGTCATTCCTCAGGGAGAATAAGAGTTGACAATGTGCCAACTCTCTGGAAGCGAACAAGACGACTGCCCTGCCAAAGTGGTGCCAGATCTCCTCTACCACCTGAGAATGAAGTCTCCACTCTCCCGGATTTGAGCCCCCTCTGGACATAATATTAGCTGCTGTGTTCAGTGGCCCCGGCACATGAACAGCTCTGATTGAGCAGAAGAGGGGGTGAGCCCACAGCAGCAATTTGGTTCCCAGCTTGCATAGGATGGGGCAGCCTAGACTCTCCTGCCTGTTGATATAGGCTGTTGTTACTGTGTAGTCTGTTCTGATAATTATATGGCGAGCTCTCAGTCTCGGCAGGAACTGCCAGAACAGCTCGCAGCTCCACGACATTTATGTGACCCAATGACTGGTCCAGCCTCCATTGACCCCATAGCCTTCGTGGACAGTGCATCAACCAACCATGGATGTATTGTCTGTGAATACAAGTTGGTGATAGACCACCTGTCAAAGAGTGCTCCCCTTGGCTGAGTCCCTCCACTAGCAAAGTGCTCTGTGGTGGCCCTGAGAAACCACTACCTTGGTCTGGTGGAAACCCTGTAGACACAGGTCTAAGCTCAACAGGCACCTTTGAACAGGTCTCATGTGTAGCAGGGAGAGAGGGATTACTTGCATTATGGCTGCCATCCTGCCCATGAGATGAATGCAGAGCCCCCAGTCGACTATAGATTGATTTCTGATTTAAGGCACGTAATGGGCTGGCCCCAAGCTGTATCTCTGACCTTTAAATCCACCATGCACCTCCATGGGCCCTAAGGTCCTCAAATCCAGCTCTCCTATTGGTTCCCTAATCAAGATTAAAAAACAAAGGTGACAAAGCATTTGCCATCTGAGCCCCTAAACTGTGGAACAGCCTTCCAGAGGAGATCAGGATGGCAAATTCTATCACTTCTTTTAAGTCTCTTCTTAAAACACATTTTTATTGTCATGCCTTCCTTTTTCTAACCTTATTCCCTTTTTCTAACTTTATTCACTGTGGTTTTACTTTTTTATTGTGTTGTTTTTTTATTAACTGTTTTGTTTTACAATGTTTATTGTTTTAATATATATTGTTACTGATGCTTCTATGGTCTAAAGTGTTCTGTTGTTTGTGTTTTTTTTACCCTGTAAAAGCACCCGTTTTTGTAAGGTGCTATATAAATAAAGTATTTAAATTCATGCCCAGAAACTTTGTCACCTGGGAAGGCTGGAGCTTGCTCCTTTTGTATTTTATCAGACCAGTTCCCTGCAGTGACGGCTTGCCTCACCCTGGGAACTGTCAATATCCTGCATCTCGAAGGGCGAAGAAACTTGTTCAGCCCCCTGAGG